ATTCTGGCAAGAGGAAGCTGAAGCCTATTGTAACATTTATGAAAAAAGAGACTGAAAAAGCCAAAATGGACAAAGCCAAGGTAAGTTATCACACTCTCACATTAATAGACATGGATTGTATTCATTATGCACACTCACCATGCTGTGCTTGTATATATGCTACAGGAGGAGGAACGGAGGAAGAAATATCTGAATGAACAGAAGGCTGCTGTGAAAGATGAACTCTGATCACTCACTGTAATCACAAGAACTAAAGCAGTTTTATTGATTTCTTCAAAACTAACATTTTAACGTTTTATATCAAACTCTTTCCAATTTAAACATTTTTTTTGTAATCATGAATGTAACAAGTATTTTCAATATGTACATGTGTGAAAACAAGACGCTGTAGTTACAGCACTGACTGGCTGGTTACCCACTGATACCATGTTTATGATATGTGACCCTGGACCACAAAACCAGTTTTAAGTTGCTGGGGTATATTTGTAGCAATAGCCAAAAATTCATTGTATGGGTCAAAATGATTGATTTTTATTTTATACCATAAATCATTAGGATATCAAGTAAAGATCATGTTCCATTAAGATATTTTATAAATTTCCTACTGTAAATATATTAAAACTTAATTTTTGATTAGTAATATGCATTGCTAAGAAATTAATTATTGTTCTGAACAGTATACTCCACTAGTTTACTTTTAAAGGACAATTTGCACACACACTTCATTTCCACTAGAGGGAGCCTCTGTTTTAAAGTGCTGCCTTCATCCTAAACTGATCATTGCAACCTCATATTAACTTTAAAAGCAACTTGCAGGTCTCTTGAGAGCTATATGTTGTCAAAAAAGTATAATGTGATCTTTTTCAAAGCACATATGGATTCCAGTCAAGGAATATGATTGGTCAATACTAGGGGTGTAACGGTTCAGATTACTCACAGTTCGGCTCGTTACCAAGAGTACCGCGATACGTATGCACACACGTGGGTGGTGTATCACGGTTTTTCCGGTTTGGTTTGAATATCGTTACACCCGTAGTCAATACAGCTAAAAACACAAAAAATATGTAGCCACAGTGAGAGACCATTTCTTGTGTGGAATGATGACAGTTCATTTGTTTAATAAAATGACAACTGAATGAAAACTGTGCCTATATAATATATATATATATAAATAATTCAATTAAATTCAAGTTTATTTGTACAGCGCTTTTCACGATACAAATCATTGCAAAGCAACTTTACAGCAAATTAAGTTTCTACCTCGATCAGGCTCCTGAATTACTCCATTGGCAACAATCTAGAAAGATCCTTTTTAGCCCCAGGCACTGTAATTACAAATATCTACCAGCAGGTCTAAACTCCATATTATTATATTTACAGCAAAATCTGTTCAGAACTCCTTAAAAAAAACATAGCCTTGGCCTCAACTTGGGAATGACCATCTGCATACTGTCATATTCAGGTTTTGATGGCAGGCTTACAACATGAAGGAGGAACCTTTACCTGATCCCAAAAAATAAACAAAGTTACAGACTGTATGTGAGAGAGATTGCGTGACCTAAATAGATTTGGTTCAGTAAACTCTAAAATCCTTTAATTGGGAAAACACTTAAACACGTGATATACTAATACTTGACAAGCACATTGATCTACAGAAGTGTAAGTCGAGGCCACCCTTTTCGATCTGAAATTGCAACGTACACACAATACATACTGTAACCTTTCCTGCAGTCATGTTGGGATTTTGAATTTAGAACTACAACACCAAAAAATAACCATATTTACCATGAAAGCTGCCAAGTTGGGTTTAAATGTGACTAAGACTGTTTGACGAAAAAGAACATTGTAAATCAATCAACCTCTTATGCCGGGTTCAGACTACACAATATTTTTGTCGGTCACGATAGTCACTGTCAGATTACATGATTTTGACTCCTAAAATCTTGTCGTGGTGTGGACAAGAAACATGTCAGACTACACGTTGCTTCCCGACCATTCATCGCGTGCCGTCTTTAACAACGCGCGTGATGTCATCGAGAGGGCGGAACTAGCGACTGAATTCCAAAAACAAGCAAATTGTGGCAAAATCGGGCTAAAATCGTGTAGTCTGAACCGGGCATTAGTCTACTCTCATATGCATTACTACCTTAAGCTCACAGTTCAGCAAGATTGCAACTCTTGCAGTGAATGTTTACATCTCAGTCTGTTACGCAACTCAAAGCTGCACGTGTTAGGCTTACCTACTCCAGAGGATTCACACATTGTGCCTTGGCTAAGCCCCTTTCCCAACACCCTATAAAGAGCCAGACTATTTTTGCACGCTATTTCCGCAGTGGCTGTGTCTGAAGAAAGAAGTGGATGTTGGGGGCTCTGGAAATAACAGGTTGTCCTGATCATGCGAAAGATCATGTCCAATTTCTGTCGCACTATACCTCCAAAACTGAATTCTTGTCCTACGTGCTGCTCTACCTGGTGAAGATGCCTTTCCCACCTGTAACAAGACCACAGAGTCTTTCCAACTTGGGCAAAGAGAAACTCGCAGAACCATCGCCTGTGATTCTGTTCAAGACAGTGGAGGAGAAAGGTTCTGCGAAGGAACGGTTCAAGAAGTTGAGCAAGAAGGGCACACCACACAAAAGTAAGCTGCCCACCTGTCGAGCTACATCTGGCTTGAGGATGGAGGGTAAAAACACTTGGATTATGACTCCAAAAAACACTGATCCTTCAAGTTCCTGCACCCCAACTTCTAAAAGTATTTCTGGTAATAGTACCTCTATTACCAATTTGGCAACCTACTCAGTGAAATCCTCTAGCAAGAAGTTGTTTCCTGCCAGCGTTTCAGCAACAAACATCCCCAAAGACTCTTGTAGTCCACAGGCTTCATCAGGATCACGCCATGGACTGAATAATGCATCTAATTTCTCTCTCAACTTGACACCTGAGGCCACCTTGGTCCTGCAGAAACGTAGTGGTGAGAAGCAGCTCCGTGTCGTCCGTGGCACCGTAATGGCACTGCATCAGAAAGACCCTCTGCTTGCCAAGTCAGGTTCTCGATCCAACATCCCACTGGTGAAGATCTCTCTTCTAAATGAGCGTCACCGATACGATGATGTGGAATACGAGGAAGACGAAGAACAGAGTGTGGATCAGAGTGTTCTGCTGAAATGTTCTGAATGGTTGCGAGGGGTGGAGAATGCTACCGGAGCTGCGGTCCTCGGTAGAGTGGACAAAATCAGTCAGAAGAGCATCGAATAGATTAGATGCTCCATGTCCTGTTACTTGTGCAGACTTGAAAAACGTGGTAGTTTCGAGTAGTGGTCGACTGATATGGGTCCTGCAATGGCTGATGTCGATCCCAACAACTAAAGAGCTGGGTGCCTTATGGCTGATACATGCAGAGCAATTTATTACTTACAGTTTAATGGCAGGAAATGGAATATACATATAAGTGCAACGCTTATTTTACACAATATTCACTAAAAATTGAACATTCAGTGTTACAGTTTATAATGACAATGAAAACAATGCATTGTCACGTCTACTGGTATATTTCAGACCTGACTGGAAAAATTAAATGTCCTGTTAATGGACAGGATTATTGGCTGATGTCACTGGTTGCAGTATATGTAACCCCGCTTTCCCGGGTCCTCACCGCCACACCTCGTTCTCGCTCCGAGTGGGTCTCGAACCCGGGTCTCCGGCATGGGAGGCGGACGCACTAACAAAGGAGGCTAAAGACTGCAGTCTCTAGCGTCAGTCGCTAGTGCGTCTCTTGAGATCAGGGGAGTGAGGTTTACCTGCACAGCACCTACTCGCTGGCCTCTGTTACATATATAGCTTTTCTGTTGCTTGAACAGTGCATGGCACTAACAAAGGCAAGGTCACAGGTTTGATTCCCAGATTGCATGAATTAACATATATTGCTTAAATGGAATTTAAATCACTATGGATAAAAGCGTCTGCCAAATGCATGATGTCAGAGTTTTATGATGTTGTATGTGATGTTTTTGAATTGTAATGCAAATATTCTGTTGAAAAGGGATTTGTACACTCAGTTTGTACCTATTTCCAGGATTTTATGGGGATTTTTGTTTTGTTTTGTTTTGAAAGTGTATTCATTTAAAACTGTCTATAAAGCATTGATCAGACTCGGAATAAAACATGATCTGCATCATACCACCATTCATTGCTGTTTGTAAAGACACATCAAGCCTTAACTCTACTGTCTTAAGAGCACACATGACTAAGAGATATATTTGGTGTGTTATTATAAGTGGCTTAAGGGACGCGGTTTAGACAGACTTAGCAACTAACAACATTGCTCACTCGTAGTACTTCCTGATCTTATTAACAGACAGGTGCCTTCACTTTTAACCAAACAGCTAACGTGGTGGAAGTCACCAGTGGTTATGTTTCTGCTAGTACATAAATCCCAGGTAGAAATGACAGGAAGTGGAGAGCTTCGCCAACCTTTTTCCTGTTGCTAGTTGCTTTAGGTAACATTTACTAAAAATACAGAAAACAGTAATATTTTGAAACAATAACAAACACTCTGAACTTTTAAAATATAATTTATTCCTCTGATGGCAAAGCTGAATTTTCAGCAGCCATTACTCCAGTCTTCAGTGTCACATGATCTTTCGTAAATACGCTAATTTGGTGCTGAAGAAACATTTCTTATTATAAATGTTGAAAACAGTTGTGCTCCTTAATATTTTTGCAGAAAATGCAATACATTTTTCAAGATACATTCTTTGATGACTAGAAATCTCAAAAGAGCAACATTTATTTTTATATAGATCTTTTATATATTTATACATCTTTTGTAACAAACACTTTAGATCACTGTTATGCATCTTTGCTGAATGAAATAATTTCTAAAAAATCTTACTGACCACAAACTCTTGATTGGTAGTGTATGTGACAATCAAGTGTCAAAATCAGGACAACTGTTGTGTCAAACACAATTATTGTTTAAATGCGGTACAACAATAATGAAATCACAAAATCTAACTAACTCTACGGTTTTGGGGGACATTTACCAATGTTATCAAGTGACTACTATATTTAAAACAATTATTCTCTTGATAACATCACAACATTTATTCTATAGTTTCTCTGGTATAAACTAGGTGAAGCCAGAAGGGCATCATTGAACAGTTTTGCATGTATTTTACATAGATGCACAGAGTCCAAAGAGCTAAACATCCCTCCCACTATAACTCACGATTGTAGACGAGAGAGAATTTGAGTAACAAAGTAGCTTGAATGCTGCATAACCTCAAGGCCAGGTGTGTATCTAAATCTCCTTTGTGTACACCAGGAATTTACAAAAGGGAAAAAAACAAGACACCCTCAAGCATTCAAACTCAGGCTACTTGCTGGAGGACTCCTAACAATCCTTTCACTTCTAAGCTACTTAACTCTGACCTTAGCACGGTAGGCTAATTGTATATTTTATATACTATTATTTTATATTACCTAGCTATCAATTACAGATAATTTAGCTTAAAGACTTTGACATAAGATAGAAACGAATATGACGGCTGGTTTTTCAGATGGATGAGCTGGATGAGACTCAGCTGAAGAACCATGTGGACAGTCTGAAGCAGCAGCTACAGTTTAACAGAGAGAAAACATCTGTCTCGCTTCCAGAGTGAGTATCAAACATAAAACATCTACTGCAATGGATTGTTTCAAATCAGGGATTTCCAACTAGGGGTATTTTTATTTGCATAGACTCATATATAAATGCAAATCATTCTGTATAAATAAAAATCGTAATACATTTGTGCTAAAAATATAAAAATATTAAATGAAGTATTCAAATATGTATTTTGATTTGTGAAGTTGCAAGTTTAGTGAAGTAAATTAAGTAAATAATTCATACGGGTTGACAGAAGCAAGGAATCTCAGGCTACCTTTTTTTTTTTGCTATTTTCTATCTTCCTATTATCCATTCATTTTCAGATTAACTAAATGGATTGAAGAGAAAATGAATGAGGATCCATTTCTGAATCCAGATATACTGAAGGACAACCCGTGGGTGGAGTCAAGCAAATGTGTTATAATATAGCGCAAGAGCTGTCACTCATCACTATGGCAACAGGAGCAACTCCACCCATTGTCATGGTTACATTGCCCGACTTTGACTAGGATGGACAAACATGCAAATGTAAATCTGCTTTGTTGTTTACGCTTATCATGACACGACATTATGAATAGAAAGAAAGAAAAAGCTGTTGTTATTCAGTGAAAACATGTATTTATAAAAGTGTAAGACAACTATACAAGAACAATAAAAAACAAAACAAAGAGGAACCAGTGCTTTTTCTTTTTCACACATTGTAGATGTTTGTTTTTTTAACTATACAGTACAAGGTTCAGAACATTTTTGGTTTTTGTGTATTGATTTAAGGTGGAAAATTAACATTCATTAAGCTTCGTCTTCTCTCTCGCCCATATCACTTTAAAGTAACTCCCGAATGTAAACGTTTCTGCGCACTGCATTGGACACACCTTCATTGAAACGAAACCATACATCACTGTTACCCACAGCTTTACCGATATGCACCACTCCACCTCCTTTGCCATCTTCACCTGCAGAGAGAAGTGAGATCAGCTCATTTTTAGCATTTAGGTTATGCAGAAGACTGCGATTTATTGTACGAATGTATATACTGTATATATATACAAACAACAACAACACACTTGTAGTGGTGACCACAGGTTTCTCCTTGGGTACAATGGCTCGTCCAAAGAAATCCAATTCAGGCTTTAAACATGAAAAGGATAAATAAACAAGTCATCACATGTGAGCACTTCGACCCTGATCCGCTATTTACCCAATTAATCTTGGATTATTATGAAGCATAAGTCAAGCATATGCAAAGAGAACCAGTATAAGGACAATCATATAACATGGTGGCACAGAATCACTGTAAAATGGATAAAAAGGCGAATTTTCGAAATAGTTCAGAGCAAAAACCAACGTCTCTCTGATTTGGCATTTTAAATTAGGTTATGATCAATAATCTAAAATTAGCACTGCAATTTGTAAATATTATCTCTTTTTCATGGCACATTCACAATTAGTTTTATATTATTGCATATAATATTTACAAATTATTATTTCCAATTCTTTGTAATTATTATCTGCAATAATGTAAAACTCGTTAGTTACAGATCAGTTGTGAATCACCAATCCCAGCATTGAATTTGCTATGATAATATTCAATGGTGGAGTGGACTTAAGGAAAATACACTTTAAAATGGGATTTTTATGAGTATGGGGAGGTTGTTTAAGGACAGATGTAAAGGATTTAAGGTGGTTTAATATAGATGCTTTACCCTGCTTTCCACCACAGTCTGTTTAACTATGTTCTCCAGCCTCTGCTGATGGTTCCTGCTTGTCTGTTTCTTCACTTCTGTCTTCTTCCCCTCTTGGTCCTTTTTAACTGTCTCCGTCTGAACGCAGAGAACAAATGCTTTGAAACTTAGACAATCCTGTTTACAAAACATGATTGTCTACAGCTCTGCATAATATATGTTGTATAGCTGTAGCCTGTGTTGGGGCTGAACATACACACAACACAATACCTAAAGGATTAAATACATTTTGCGCCTCACTTCGGTCTAGTGTACATACTAGATGAAGTCTAGCTACATTATCTAGGTCTGTTAGTTCAACTTCGCAAAAGTTTGGACTGGTATGACTGAAGTCGGACAAAACTGTAGACAAGTCAAAATGTTGCAGTCCAAAAAAAATGCATGTGAATGTATTTCAAGTTTACACTGCAAAAGAGTGGTGAAACAGATTGTTTATTTAAAGACAAAAAATGATCTTAAAAAAACACAACCAAACAAAATAATACAAAACACACCTGAAAGCCAAGCATCAAACTTTGTGTGTGTGTGTTTTACCTTCTGTGGGTTTCGTTTCTGCTGGGCTCTCTCTACCCTCCTCATCCTCTCTAGTTCGGTCTCCCTGGCGATCAGCTGTTTCACCTGATAGGTTAACTGCCTCCGGGGAGGCAAACCCGGAAAATGCACCACATATTCTACATTACTGTGGAAACACACACACAGGTCATTTAATGTACAACTAGTAATTGAAAACAGCATAATATAATGACAGCACAGACCTTTACATAACATAATAATATTATTCATGAGCACTACTCCAAGGTGAACCTGAACAAGGGAATCTAACGAGGAGGGATATAAATAAAAATGAATATGAGATGGTTTATAAAGTGGAAAGCGGGTGAGCTAAATAATCCCTCTTACTCAGAAGGTAAAACACTTTTCCAGGAATAAAAGTACATTAAACAATATGTGCAATACACACAAGCAGATGAAAATCCAAAAGCAGGATTAGTTGTGCGGGGTATTCCGGGTCACGTACACAAAGCCATTTCTTTAGGACAGTTGGAGAATGTTCTGTCAAAACAATATGGAGCAGTTCACAATTTGTGTGTTTGTTCCCATATATTATGTTGTTATTGCTGTTTTCACATTAAAATCAAATGGTTCTTCCATTTCTAGAGAACAGGATAGCAATGAAAGGTTACAAGTTTACTTCCAGTGTAAAAGCTAGATAAAATCCAGATGCTTCAATATCTCTGTGCTGCTGATATGCCATCGCATCTCATATTAAATTGCCTAACATATATATATTGAAACGCATGCTGTGAATTAGCATGACTGGACATTAAAGAGTTGGATTATATTCACAATATTGTCTGTCAAAATAGCACAATAATTACAAAAGCAGTAGATGTGATTGTTTCTTCCATTCAGGCCTCCTCTGATGAAAGTTTATCATGTTTAATAATGCTGAACCATTTCTTCTCATGATTGGACGATGCATGATTCAACATTTGGCATGGGAATCGTACAATCCTCAGTCCGTCTTATTATTTTCCAGGGGCATGGCTTCAGTGTGGTTACTTAGCCTTGTTGAAGCAGAGCTCGATAAGAGATGGCGGGAAGATACAGGAAGGCGTAAACCAGCAGAAGCAGCAACAGGGAGACCAGCAGCGGAATCCCCCAATCAGAGGTGACCAGCGTCTCCTCGCAGCGGGCCTGCAGGAACGACTGCTGCATGATTCTACTGCACCAATCACAGAAAGAACAAACACACGCGTTTATCAATAAGAGACTTCAAAAACATGATCATGAAAAACATCTAATCTAGACTAGTAGGGTTTGATGACATAATATTTCATTTGAATTCAATATTATTTCATTGGCAATATAAAATTAACCAACTTAATTATTAGATTCATTTCCACAAAGCCATTATTTAGAATTTGTCTGTTTCAATAAATGAGTGCAAAACACTTATTCTAGAAGTAATCGCATAAAAAAAAATTTTATCAGACAAAAAAAAAAATTAAAGGTAAACATTACAGTTTGCTACATACTATTGCATTTAGTGTATTGTCATATTGTAATATGCTTTTAAATAAATGTGCTCATTTAGTGAAAACACTACAATTCTAAACTAAAAACAGTAAGAAATTATTATTATTTTTTTTAAAAGGAAGCATTAATTGCATTAAGAATCCTGAAAAACATGCATCATGGTTTCCATAAAAATATTAGGCAGCACTGAAAATTCAGCAGGAATTAATAACATTTTTAAATATATAAAATTTTATTTTTCTCTTTTAAACCTTAACACCATTTTGCAATATTATTGTTTTTACTGTATTTTTGATCAAATACATAAAAGAGCATTACAAAACTTCTTTCAAAAACATTAAAAAATCATCCCAAACTTTTGAACAGTTGTTTATGTATTAGCATTTCATTAGACATTAGCTTTATCAGCATTGGCCACTGAACAGCCAATATGGATCAACCACTATTAGACTGAGCTAGTCAGTTCTACAGAAATTCCAACTAACAAACATTCATGCATATAAAATATGAAAATACTTAAGAGGCAAACATACAGGATGAACAGAGATGCTCTTCTTCAGTTCCAGCTTGAGCTCGCCATCTGAAAACCAATCCAATAGCCCAAATTGTTTCCTTGCTTATCTTCTCATTCCTGGTTTTTATCCACCTTTAGCTCCATCAAGCAGACTTTTAAAGGTTCAGCAGCAAGTGCTCCACTTTTGAATGTCAAAGCTTGTTTGTGAACCTTTTCAGCATCACTTCCATCAATCAGTGTGAGTGGTACGACACGGTAAGCCACAGAGAGGATTGTAGGTCTTTTTATACACTTGAGTGATGAACATGTGCATCCATTCATTAGGGAAGTAACAAAAACCTCCAAGTTCTCAAGTGAGAGAATTGCCAAAGTGAAACAAAGGATGGAGAATAATAAAAAAGGATAAGAGTAGGGGAGGAAGAGACAATAATCTGGAGCTGCAGCCTAATCTCTCATAAATCGTGATGAACAGGTAAACACATACAGAATCTCTCAAGCGCTGTTCGTGTTAGTGTGTATTCTTGTGGTGAAGTCTCATTTGCATAACTAAAGTCCTGACAGACAAGCATGGTTATCTGCCTAAAAACAGAACAATATGTTCAATGAGTCTGTAGATCACGTTGTTAGTGTATGTGCATGTACTCACGGCTCCAGCACATAAGTGTACTGTCCCTCTGGTGTGCGGTCCTGTCTGTAGGTCAGGTTGTAGTTGATCATGGTGTCAATCAAATCATAGAGCTGCTGCTTCTCCCTAGTGCTGTAAAGCTGAGGGTTGACCTGTAAGAAACGCATCACATGTCCCACTAAGTCTGTATTTATTTGATCAAAAATACTGTAAAACAGTAATATTGTGGAATATTATTGCAATATAACATTTAAAACTGTTTTCTGTTTTAATACATTTTAAAATGTAATTTATTCCAGTGATGGCAAAGCTGAATTTTCAGCATCATTATTCCAGTCTTCAGTGTCACATGATCCTTTAGAAATCATTATAATATGCTGATTTGCTGCTCAAGAAACATGTCTGAATATAATCAATGTTGAAAACTGCTTAATATTTTTTTGTGGAAACTGTAATATACTGTTTTCAGGATTCTTTGCAGGAATTTAAAATCACTCACCGGCCGCAGTTTGGGGGAGATGAG